ATCGAGTGAGTCATATCAGGTCGGATCGGCTGTGCTTCTTCAGGTCGGTTATGATGCCACGTGTTGCTTTTTGATTGGTTGATGAACGTAATACCACTAGGAATCTGCGATTTTGACTTCGACCACTAGTAATCTGCGATTGGAGCATAAACGACTGCTCTTAACAGTCGTTTTGACTTCGATCACTAGTAATACCGCGTGAAGAAGGTAATAAATAATCCGCATGCTGTTCGGATACCTTCAGTATCTAATTTGATATGTTTCCATATTGGTGTTGTCTGAGCTGATAGATCTAATAGAATAGAACAGATCGAGTGAGTCATATCAGGTCGGATCGGCTGTGCTTCTTTAGGTCGGTTATGATGCCACGTGTTGCTTTTTGATTGGTTGATGAACGTAATACCACTAGGAATCTGCGATTTTGACTTCGACCACTAGTAATCTGCGATTGGAGCTCATAAGAGCATAAACACTAGTAATCTGCGATTTTGACTTCGACCATTAAGGCATCATTATGTGGAGAAACGATCTTGTTGAGGTCGGCATCATTGTAGCATATGTCGACATCTGATCGTTGAGTGATTAGAACTCTACTAGCTTGAGTGCCGATCTGGTACACATGTTTGAGGTGCTCGACCTTCCTTCTTTTCTCTCTAACGTGCTCAGGAGGAACATCTTCATGAATCATGTTGATAACCCTGTTCGAACTCACACCCTGTTCTTCAATCCTAGGTCACGAATCACCTGTTTGTTGAGGTGATCTCTAAGGTCGGAGGTAGGACCTAACCTTTAGGCGACACTACGCCCTCTGCTTTTCGATCTACTAAGAGTTCGAGCTTTGCTTTTAGATCGGTCACCACGGGGAGAACGCTTTGGAGTTCTTGATCTTTTCTTGGCTGGGTGATCTTTACCATCTGAAGGTTTGATGATGTAATTGTTCAAATGCCCTTCATCTGCCCATTGGTTGAGATGTCGCTTCAACACTCGACAATCATCTGTTTGATGTCATCGGACCTTATGGATTTTACAATATGGGCGACCAGGAGAATCTTCTAACTGTGTGAAGTCTCCGATCTTGCACTAGTGGTTGTTTTTGACCCTTTCATAGATGTAACCAGCAAGTCGGGAAAAACAATAAGATTCCCTAGTATCAATAGGAAGAGGCTTACCTTTGAATCTTCTGTTATTCCTTGGTTTCCCTTTACCGGGGTTCTTCTCGACCATATTGACGACGTTCAAGCTTTCATGTCGCTTGAGCTCGGTCTCCAGCCTGATATATCTGTCGACTTTGAGGTACAAGTCGTCCAGCTCATTAGGTCGCCATAGCCAACTCCTTGTGGAGGTCGGACCCTGGGAACAGACCATTATAAAAAGCGATAGAAGCAAGTTGTTCATGACCTTTGCTGAAGTCATGGATTAGGTTGAGTTCTGATTTGAAACGCCTGAAGTATTCATCTAGTAATTGCCCTAACTGTTGCTTGATCTGGAATAAGCAATCGATGGTGACAGGTCGTTTCTGGTTGTAGATGTAGGATAAGACAAACTGTTTCTCGAGCTCTTTGAACGAGCTGATTGAATTAGGAGGCAACTTGTGAAACCAATCTAGCGCGGGGCCGACAAGGCTGGATTGGAACAAGGTGCAGAGCATAGTCTCATCCTTCACCAATGGAAGCGATTTCCTGAACGACTTGATGTGGTCGGTGGGATCTCCGACCCCAGAATATTGATCGAATTTTGGAGCATTGAGTTTGGTTGGAAAACCCGTACCTTGCAGATCTGCAGTGAATGGTGACATATGGCATTGGGCCAATGATTGCAAAGCAATCTCTTGGGGAGGTCGGCTCTTCTGAGCGATTTGAGTTACTCGGAAAGCTTCGAATTGTAGGCTGAGTGCATCGAGCTTTGCCTGCGTGACTTGTTGGATGTTGGTGTCAGCTTGTGGTTCGGCTCGTTGCTGATTCAGATGACCGGTTTGGTCGCTGCTGGTAGAGGTACCTTCCTTGGCTCGGAGTGCAGCGATCTCATCTTGCTGTTTCTTGATCATCTCCTGTAGTTGGTTGGTCTCTTCTTGAGAAGCCATTGAAAGATTAGGGTTTTCTGGAAAAAATTGGGTGGCTTTTTTTATGGAAGGTTTCTGATATAATCAAAACTGTGCAGTTGGCGCCAAATGTATTAACCTAAATTTAGACTAACACACTACTCTAGGTCAGATCGGAATAGGGCTGATCAAAAGGGGATTTGATAATGGAAAGGGTTGCACTTCGGTTGAGATCGAAGTTACCTACGTACTCTAGCTCGAGGATGTTGAACCTAAAGATCAAGCCACTGTAGTTCTGGGGTTTTATAGAAGATGACAAAGCGGTGATCAAGGGATCTGCCTTGATTCTCAAGATAACCGATATGATTTGATTTGGAAATCAAATCATTTAGTAACCGAGTGAAGAAAGTAATAAATAATCTGCATGCTGTTCGGATATCTTCAGTATCTAATTTGATATGTTTCCATATTAGTGTTGTTCGTTGATAGATCGAATAGAACAGATCGAGTGAGTCATATCAGGTCGGATCGACTGTGCTTCTTCAGGTCGGTTATGATGTACCACTACAGTGCATCTTACATGGCAATGAGTCAAGATAATGACAATGTAATATAATGTATAGACAGAATAATTAGTTATTTCATTAGTTGGGATGTCTGAAAATAAGTAAATGGTATGGATTATAAATTTATAATGTCAATAATCACATTAGTTTCTACTGATCTGATCTCTGATCTGTAGGGTTGGATGATTTCACTGATTTGGTTGATGTTGGATTTTGTATACGTAACGATTATGCCGAATGATCATTATTTCATAACCACAAAGCAGACTGTAGATATTATATTGGTTTTTTTTTTATTATTATTGAAAAGAAATTTTATTGATAAACCCAGAAAAATTATACAAAAATAATATAGGGCTAACCACCATGTTTTCATCCCGTTGTCTTTTAACACATTTAGATTGTTGGCCTACGAGGCAATTAAGCTCTTTAGGAAAGTTTTTTATTTTTTTAAGTAGCAGTATTTCTTTCATTCATTGATTTCATTCCATGTTTAAAATACATTTTGTAATGTACATAAGTCTCATGGCTTGGATTCAGTCCATGATCAACAAGGAATAATAACCAGCCCAAATAGATGAACCTGCTATAACAGAAGAATACTACAGAGGCCCACCCAGTGTCCCGCTTCCCCCAAGCCCAAGCCCGTAATTTCTTCGACTTGATCATTCAGAGGCTCAGAGCCAAACCCAAACTATTCGCGAATATTCAACGAATAGTTTTTAGTATCGAAATTTCGGATATATTCCGTAACTTCCGAATTCCGATATATCCCTGTAAAATTCTACGAAACGGGATGGGCCTGATATTATCATATCTTAGTTTAGAGTTTAGAGAAGACACATCGTAAACGTCAGCCCAACACAGTAAGGTTTCAGTTTTGTCTCCCAGCCCAGCCCATAAAAGGTCCACAGATTGCGTTCAAAATGAAAAACCCTAAGTTTCTCACAAAACCCTTATAAATACAATACAATGCTTCTTCGTCAACCCTAAATCAGAGTAATGGTTGCAAGGGTTTTTCTCTCTGTTCTTTTTTAGGTGTTTTTATAGTTCTGTTTATTGATTTCCATGATTCAATTATTGTTTTGAAACATTGTTATGATTAGTAGTAATAGATTAGATAAGATTGACTGGTTTTGGTTTGTTGATTGAATGAAAGGGCAAAGATGAAGAGTGCTATTTTCTGACACCTCTTGTATGAGAGGAGCTTTCTAGCTCTTCGTTGAGCACATTAAGCAACTCTCTGAGCCTACCCATTTCTTTATTATTATTTTTTTTTTCGAATTTGTTGTTTTAGATTGTTGGTTATTTATTTTATCAAAATTGAATTTTTATTCAA